ACCCAAGGAGCTAGAGCTTAAAACCCAAGGAGCTAGAGCTTAGATATTTAGCATGAAACATCTTCTAGTGAGTGTCTACCAAATTTGTTCAAATATGGGGTCATTGATTTTCTTATACTTTATGTACTCATCTTTTGGAACTGTTGTTTTCCCTTGGCAATAGCAGCCAGTAATGTTTTTATACATGCTCTATTTCAGATACTAGTATGAACTTTGTGATATCAGTTTTAGATTTAGATTTTATATCGCTTTTGTTAATAGTTAACAATATTACTTGTTCCTTGTTATGGAGAGTTTCTATATTAAGGTGAGCGATTTCAGGGCCATCATCGATGGCACTCTTGTTTGGGTAATACATACATTTTTAGCTCACCTTAGCACAACATGTGCATGGTTAGCTTTTGTGATCTTCATCTGTACGTTGTCTGTCATAAACATGTTCATACTCTTAAACCAATGACTTGATGTTGACCAAACTTCACAAATATTATAATTGTGTGGTTGCTTATCAAAGGTATGTTTCTGGTGAGTGGCATAAATTAATCAAAGGGCTAAAATAATGGTTCAATTAATGTGAATTTTAAAAATCTTCTGTCTGAAAGTATAAGGTCCAGATCTTTTATATGTTGTTTATAAAAGCATCTAGATAGCATCCACTGAAATTGTTCAAATTATGTCCCTATGGTCAAAATTGGTCCTGCCATGGGGGACAAGTGTTTCTTATATATATTCTTACAGCAAAATGTTTTTTTTTCTAATCCTAAGGGCTAGAGCTAAGACATTGTGCAGTGGAATTGTATCAAGATTGTTAGACTTATGGCCCTGACATGGAGGTCCTGGGTTTTCCTTTTATCATTATGTATATGGTAAAACTTAAAACTGTAACATCAAGTCATAAGATTGGTCACGGATACCTTGACCACTAGAAGCTTTCAAACAAAAAAACTAGATAAATAGCCTAATATATGGGATGCATGTTTATCATGCATAGTAGATGACCCCTGTTTATTCTGAGGTCAGAAAGTCAAAGATCAAGGTCACTTAATTATAGACCATTGAAAATTTGTCAGCCCAATAATTTGAAAAGGCTGGGGACTGCAGTATTGTGATTTGGTTTAAAGGTTATTCATGATAAGAAGATGACCTTTGTTGATGTTGAGGTAAGTCAGTAAAAGGTCAAGGTGACTGACATTGATTGTTAAACATTATAAAATCCTGTCTGACCAATATGTGGAGATGGTTTTGGCCTTAACTAGGGAAAACTGTGAAAAAATTGGGGTTTCCTTTGTTTTTGCATTTGTGTTATATGAACAAGGATTGTAAATTTGATTCACAGGAAAGCAGATCCTGTTATCATTTAAGTTGTCATTAAATTGCATCATTTGCACTAATATCATTCCTGTCCTCAGGTGAGCACTTTGGGGCCAATGGACCATACTTGTTTTAACTATTATTTACTGATTTACATAAAATATTATGTAGAAAACTGTATAGAGCATAATTTTGATGTCACCTCTGATATTTTTCATTGTTTTATGTTTGTTGTTTTTCATTTGAAAATAAATTTATGAAAAGTACATGCCGTATTTTTCATTTTTATCTAGTCTGTTTGGAAGAAAAAAGTCCAGCTTTTATGTCCTGCTTCATCATTGTCACCGTTGTTGTCTTGAAAAACTTTAATGTAACCCATTTATTCAATCATTTTAAATGTTATCAACATGAAGCTTGGAATACTTGCTTATCATGACAAAATGCAGTTATAATTCTGAAAGTTATATACGTTTTTGGCCGGGTTGCACAGGTTCAAACCAGGCTCATAGTATGGTGAATGGCGGACAGGCGGCGGGAGTGCGGGGAAAAAAATAACAGTAACAGTCTTCTCAGCAACAACATATCACAGCCTCATGAAATTTGGTATAAAGCATTAACATTTGGCCCCATTCGGATTCAATTCAATTTCAGTTCTGGAAGTCATTCACTTCCTGTTCACCAACACAGCTAAATTTTCAACACTAATGGTCAATGGTTGAACATTTTTCGTAACATCACAGCCTCATAATATTTGGTATAATACAAATGCAATCCAGTCATTTTTGTCTTTGAGCCATTTTTATATGCCCGAAAGAATTTTTTAAGTTATGCCCCTGGCGTTCGTCCATCAGTTAGCAATTTGGTTTACGGAACATAACTTAAGTTCCATTGGCCCACAATATTCAAACTTCATAGGATGATTGTACATATTGGGTAGAAGACCCCTATTGATTTTGGGGTCAAAGGTCAAGGTCAAGGTCACTATTACCTTAAAACTAAAAAAAAAAACAAACAAAAAACAGTTTCTGGAGCATAACTTAAGTTCCATATGGCCCACCATATTCAAACTTCATAGGATGATTGTCCATATTGGGTAGAAGACCCCTATTGGTTTTGGGGTCATAAGGTCAAGGTCACTATTAATTTAAAACTATAGTTCCATTTGGCCCACAATATTCAAACTTCATAGAATGATTGTCCATATTGGGTTGAAGACCCCTATTGATTTTTGGTGTCACAAGGTCAAATGTCAAGGTCACTTTTACCTTAAAACAGTATTTGAAGCATAACTTAAGTTCCATTTGGCCCACAATATTCAAACTTCATAGGATGATTGTCAATATTGGGTAGAACATCCCTATTGATTTTGGGGTCACAATGTCAAAGGTCAAAATCACTATTAACTTAAAACTGAAAACAGTTTCCAGAGCATAACTTATAAGTTACATTTGGCCCACAATATTCAAACTTTATAGGATGATTGTCCATACTGGGTAGGAAACCCCTATTGATTTTGGGGTCACAAGGTCAAGGTCACTATTACCTTAAAACTAAAAACAGTTCCTTGAGCAAAACTTAAGTTCCATTTGACCCACAATATGTCCATATTGGGTAGAAGACCCCTATTAATTTTGGGGTCACAAGGTCAAGGTCACTATTAACTTAAAAGACCCCTTTTGATTATGGGGTCACAAGGTCAAATGTCAAGGTCACTTTTACCATAAAACAGTTTCCGGAGCATAACTAAAGTTCCATTTGGCCCACAATATTCAAACTTCATAGGATAATTGTCCATATTGGGTAGAAGACCCCTATTGATTTTGGGGTCACAAGATCAAAGATCAAAACCACTATTAACTTAAAACTAAAAACAGTTTCCAGAGCATAACTTATAAGTTCCATTTGGCCCACAATATTCAATCTTCATAGGATGATTGTCCATACTGGGTAGAAGACCCCTTTTAATTTTGGGGTCACAAGGTCAAAGGTCAGTATTACCTTTAAACTGAAAACAGTTTCCGGAGCATAACTTTATAGCTCCATTCGACCCATAGTGTTCAAACTTTATAGGATGATTGGCAATAGTGGGTAGAAGATCCCTATTGATACTTTATGTAATTCCCATATCTTACAAATGCTTCATCGTTACTAAAAAAACACCTTCGGGCATATTATGCTCCGCCTAGCGGTGCTCTTGTTGTGTTTGGAGTTATGCCCCTTTTTAACTTAGATTTTTTTGGGGGTAAAAATTGTTTCCCATGAAAGACGAGCGTTAACACCCCATGTGGTGCTCTTGTTCAAGTTTGATTTAAAAAGTTATAGAATATAGTCATTACTATGTATTCTTTGAGATATCTCGTGCAGAGAGCTTGAACATATTATTCAGTATCAGAAGATCACTGCCTTTGATCTGTGTGGTATCTTGTAAAACTGGGACTGAAAAATGGTCCTGCACATGTACAAATGTAATCAATCTTCACACAAATGTGGTCTGTGGTCAACAGAACAAATATTGTTTTCTGGTCATTTCTGTGTCACTTATGTCCAGTTTTTTATCCTATTACATTGCATGAAGTAATGAACTTCATAAAAGTACATATACCGACGACGCTTTCTCGTGTTTTGCTCACCTGAGTCAACCATGTGCTCAGAGATTTTATGATCGCATATGCCGATTTTCTATTGTTTGATCACTTCTCTAGAGTTTGACCAAACTTTACTGGAATGATAACTAGTGCTATTGATGGAAGTCTGTAAAGCTATATATAAACGGTTCCAGTTTGTTGAACAAGTACAATGTTCTAGTAGGTCACAGGCGGTAAAGATACATAAGTGTACAGTGATACTTGAAACCATTTCTAGCTATGGTTCTCAGGTGAGCGAGATTGAACCATCATGACATTCTTCTGTAAACTGTCATTATTTCCCCTACTCTTTCATTTCAGCATGACTAAGACATGGATGTTTTATCATTAAAAGAGATGCAACAAAGATTTTAAAATCATTTTCTACAGAAAGGTTTGAGAGATTTCCAATTAGCGTTAAAGGTGATCCTTACAGGGTTCCATATAACTGAGGTCCATGAAGTCAATAAATAGAGGATATTTAAGTTTTTTCTATTAGTACAAGATCTATTTTCATCGAGTGGTATAAAATAAAAATTTCATGAGTGGTGGTAGCCTCGAGTGAAACATGACTTTTTCATACCACAAGATGAAAATGAATCATTTATTTATCGGAAAACTAGATTTTTCTGTTTATTTTATACATTTTTCTCTTTTTTTTTGACATTTCCTTCCGAAAAACCAGTATTTTTAGTGTTTAGTTAAATATCTGGATATCAAATGAGCCGCGTCACGACAAAACCAACATAATGCGTTTGCGACCAGCATTGATCCAGACCAGCCTGCGCATCCGCGCAGTCTGATCAGGATCCATGCTGTTCGCTTGCCAACCCTTTTACAAGTAGAGAAACTGATAGCAAACAGCATGGATCCTGTTCAGACTGCGCGGATGCGCAGGCTGGTCTGGATCCATGCTGGTCGCAAACGCACTATGTTGGTTTTGTCGTGACGCGGCTCATTTGATATCAAGATATTTAACTAAACTAAATATAATACACGCATAATTGAATACTAAAAATACTGGAAATAGGTTTAACGTCACAATGTTATGATTCGCAATTGTCCGTGTATCTATTTACCTAGTGTACGGAAAATCCCGATGTTTTAACTTTAGTAGTGCAAACATCATATTTCATTGTATACGGTTAAGTTAAATCAAACCTGGATTAAAACGAAATTTAAGGACATACAAAATCACAATATCGCAAATTAATAGTAACGGTAAGTCTAATTTCATTATTTAAATCAAGGAAAGACGGATTGTAAATCTAAACAGTTTCATCTAAACTATAGCATGTTTAACTATAGCTAATCATTGACATACTATAAAATTCTGACATGTCAAAATATAGTACAATGTCAAAAAGAAGCACACACAAAAACCAGCTAGACAAAAACGCTAGTGTTTATGGTTCTGTTCAAACCATCCCTTGCGCTATCTTTAGTTAATTGCAAATATTTCATAATATGCTTCTTGCATGACAAGGTTTTTTTTTATTCATGAACAACAAAAAGGTTGGGCATTACGTTATGCATAATTATGTAGAATTTCATTGATTAAAAATCGTATAAAATGTAGGAAGAAAATCAGTCGAGCACGTGACTCGGATGTTAGTTACATGTAATTGTTAATGTTAAATCATAAGACGGTATATATCTCAAAAGATTTGTAACATATTAATAATTTGTCTTTTTGGATAATAACCTATAAATCTGGACGAAACAGTTAATTAATTAAGTTCTTAAAATGTGTATGGATACGCTCAGTGTATGACACCCTGATAAACAGTAGGTTAATTGGGGTGGCAACAGCTTTGAAAATATTAAATAAAACACGTGGTGAAATAATTTTCATGGGAACGTTTACTAGGCAATTTTAGTGTTATTTAATGTCATTCTATATTTATTGTAATATAAGGTATATCATCTTTTATTTAACTGTTAAACGAAATGATATGTGCATTAAACTTAAAAATTGCTGAAATGTGCAAATGTTTCCACCTGCTTTTCGTTTGTTGTCAGTTTCAAAAGGGATCTAAAATTTATGTCATCAGCAAACAGGACGGAGCCTGGACCTGTCTTAATACTGCTGGCACAATATTGCCGCTAGCGTTAAACAAACACCACCGTATTTGATCGGTACTGTGCTGGCAAATAAAAGTCTTTTGTGTCAATTGTCATGCCATAAGTCTGTGTTAACGAATAAATTTGACATGGTTTTATATTATGTACAATAAGTAAATGCGACTTTTCTACCAGAGTGTTATTGTCATATCCACACTTTATTGTGAGATTTTATATCGCCTTTTGTTCAAATAATAATTTACACACCTGCTTTCGTTTCAGGATTCAATTGAATACAAACACCAGCTAGATTGAAAGATGGGCGCTAAAATCGACAAGGACAAATCTGTTTCAGATTTGACTTTCATTTCCACCCCATCGTCTTGTTTTGCTCAATCTACTTTCCCAAATTTTACAGAAAATTTCAACGAGTGCAACAATTATAATGATGGTGCCGCATCGTTGCATGACATAGATTTTCTAAACGTGATATTACCACCATCTCCTGAAAGTTCAAGTCAGATCAGATCAGAAATTGATGACGCCTCCTATTCACCGGAAATCTTACACGAAACGTTAAAGGATCAAGATATCCCCAATGACTTGTTAAAGTCTTCGTTGAGAATGAACAAATTTACTACTGAAGATTCATCCACTTGTTACGAAATGTATCAGGCGAACACAAAAAAGAAAACTGATGGAGAAGAAAGTAGTTTATATGAACCAAGCCGAACGTCTGCTAAAATGTCTTTAAAAAAGAAAACAACTCTGCGAGAAAATGATCTGAGAAATGATACAGAAAATAAGAAGTCAAGAAGATCCTTAAAATTTCCACCATGTTTTATTTGTAGCGGTAATGCATCTGGTCTACACTATGGTGCGATAACTTGTGAGGCTTGCAAAGGATTCTTTAGACGACACCTTCAAAAGAAAACAAATTTTAAATGTTTCAAAGGGGGAGATTGTGAAATTACATCCGGTAAAAAAGGAATTTGCTCTGGATGCCGTTTACAGAAATGCCTAGATATTGGCATGTCAAAAGAAAAGTCGAAGATTGGACGATATACTTCAACAAAAAGGACTGAAGCGATAATTCGAATGAAAAAGTTGGAGGAGGAATCACACCTTGATGAAAGCACCCATGAAAAACATTTGGCTCCTTTAATTAAACTTGACGGAGATGATACTGATAACCTTTTTAATGATCAATTTGTCGCACAGCTAGTTAAAGCCATGGATGAATTAGAGATATATGGACCAAACGTTAAGACAAAGGAAAAAGTACAAGAATGCCATAGACATGTTTCTGAAATGTTCCAGCGAAAGATTGAATTATTTGGGAAAATGGGCACTGTCCCAAAGGAAGAATTTCACAAATTATACAAAGAATTTGGAATAGACATTGATGGCCGCATAGCTGATATGAAAATAGAATTCGGAGATTTTGAGGAACTAGCGAGCCGTTATGAGAATTTTGCCATACAAATTCCTGGGTTTAGTGATCTGCACGAGGAAGACCAGTCTAACCTGCTGAAAATTGCAATGTCAGATTTTATGGTACTTATCGCAAACGACGGCTACAACGACGACTATAAAACATTTGTTTCCACGGATGGACATGGCTACCATTTTGATGACTTGGTAAATAAATTCTATTCGAAGGATTTGATAACAATTGTATGTGAAATGTATTGTTGTTGGCAAAAACTTTGTTTGAGTCCAGAAGAGACAGCAATAATAGGTGCTTTGACATTAGTTTCTGCTGATCGATGCAAACTGCAAAATCGTCCCCTTGTTGAAAAAGCACAGTTGTCTATTACTAAGCTGCTCCAACGATACATAGAGAAAGTGAGACGGCATGATTCGCAGAAAAGGTTCGCAAAGATTATGGACGCTTTGATAAAAACACGAGAAATGTCTGAATTGTTCATTAAGGAACAAAATATTATATGTAATGACGCATTGATGCTGGAAGAAATCCCGTGTATCATGTACCTGTTTGTGGAGGACACATACTAGAAGTATAATACTGTGTCCCCTAAAAAGATGCACGTTTTCTTATGTTAGCTACCTGAATGGCTGGACTGTTCGATATCATGACAGAACAGACTTTCATATATGAACAAATTGTGATATCTATTTTAAAATTGTTGCCTAGGGCACATTGGTTACTGTGACCTTCATGGTACATTAGAAACGAAATGCGAATGTAAAAATGGAACAGTGCGTTTCATTTTTTGTAGGTGGTAGAACATTGATACAGCATAATATTTTGTTTGTTAGAAATACGGTTTTATATTATTGTGAAAAATGCTTGTTATTCTTAATACTCGTATAACGCTGAACTTAAGTTCAAATTGCATGTCGTAATTTCAAGTAGTTGTTAATAATTTCTTTATTGTTAACATATATAATTCTGTTGCCATTTAGTATTTACAATAAATAATAGTTTATCAAAGTTCGTTTATTTATTTTAAGCTGCATGCCTCCAGATGAGCCAAAAAAATGTTCAAGAAAAGCAAACTTGAGAAAATGTACCAAGATTTAAAGAAAAGTAAACAGATTCAAGTAATAATTATGCTATGTGCTATTATTGACTGATTATGCAGTATTTATCACCATATTTCTACAGGGCTTTTTTTTACATATTTTGATCTCCTTTTGGTAATTTACTTGGAATATATGGCAATCAGTAAATTACTTTCTTTGATCATATCACAATATTTTTTTAACATGCATTTTCAAAATTGTCATGAATATTAGCATAAATCTTGAGGCATATGCTGCTGTGCTCGGATGTTTGCGCTTGTGGTCGTTTGTCGTGCTTTATATGTCGTTTAAAAACACCTTTTCCTAAACAAGCTTCACTGGAGTGGTTGCCAGGCGATTTTCGTTAAAGTTTACGTAATTGGTTTGAGGCTGGTAGAAGCTAAAAATAGACTTATAAAGTTAAATATTTTAAGGTCTTCAGAGGTGAGCTTAAACATTTAGTTTATATCACAAGCTAGTCCTGAACAATAGTTGAAGAAATCGCTGCATGGGATCAAAATTGGCCCCGTCTTGGTGTCATTTATATAAACTTAAATAAGAAAATATATTGATTTTTCGTGGGTAAAATAAAGCCCGTAGCTAATGAGATATTTGACATGTTAGTTTTTTTTACAAAGGTCCCAGTTATCATGACCTTTTGGTTAAAAATATACCTGCCAAAGGGTCACTTGTTACACTATTACCAGGAATATCTTCAGAAAAATCCTTTAATTAAAAAAATATAAAAAATGTCAAAAAACAACAATTTTTCACCAAAAATCGGTGTTAGGGCACGTGTTAACATGGAAAATCAAGTTTTTGGGTAATTCCAAGGTTTTTCATCATTTTTTGTTAAATTCTACAATTTGCATGAAGTATGCATTTATAACCGTGTGATTCTCTTCATAAGAGCTCAAATACTTGCCATTTAGGGTTGTCTAGCGGTCACCCTAAATGTAATGTGAATAGTACCCTTTGATCAACGATTACCAACCCTTAATATTGTTCAATAAACTAATTACTTATTGAGTGATTTGTAAATTCTCTAAGAGATTTCTGGATTTTTCATTGTTACATCTTTCCAAAGTTCAATATGGCACATTTATCTACTTAGAACTACAGGAAATACAACACTTTTTACGTAGCGAACAAAGACTATAATTAATTATTTGTTTAATTTGAAAAGAGGTACCAAAAGTTACTTGCTAAATTTATACATTTATCCTACCTATTAATTTCAAGAATTATATTTTTATGAACAGAATACATAATCTTTATTATCATATTTGTATGAAACATACAAAAAGAAAGGTAAAACAAATTTGCGTTACAAAGATGCGTTAAGGTAAAACAATGTTGTGTTGCGGAAAAGTGAAACAAATTTAATTAACATCTTAATTCAAGAGTTTTCATATACAATAAATAGATTTATACTGTAATTGTTTTGGTGTTTGATTGTTTTAGTGTACTATATACTTTAATTGTTTTGGTGGAGGTTTGCATGTAGGTGTGACCGGGGATTAATAATCGAAGACTTCCTTCTAGTTAATTCTTTTATTATCGGATATATAAAATCCAGTCTACAAACAAAAAGCAAAGGAAATTACAAATACTTTATTTACAATACAATAAAATTACACATTTCATCAAATTCATCAATGGAAAAAGAATATGACGTTACAAATATGTAAAATTCTTACGAGGATCGGCCTAACAACTTTCAATAAACGTGTTCAAGTTTACTATTAAGTAACGACTTTTATCACACAACTATACTGTAAAGTATTAAGTTATCAGTACTTTGTGGAGCTTGCGAAGGGAAATATTTTACTACAGAAAGAAAATATTTCGCGGGGATTTTAGGGTCATGCACGTGAAATATTAGTGGGCAAATTATACTACCTTTGAACCTACAGTGACCTCGCTTTACAATAACACTACCACGTACAGTTAGGCAAATAAACGAAGACACAACAGTAAGGCAAATACCAACCAGGTACATTGTACAACACAACACGGAGGATATAATATACCAGTGAGCAACAGAAAACGAATACACAGGTTGCACAGGTCCAAGACTGAATTTATTGAACGAGTTGAATACATTATAAAATGTGAGCCTCATGCTCTTGTGATGCTGCCATTGGCGTTCTTAGGTTTCCGGAAGTTTTGATAAACAATTGTTACGGTGCCAAATAAATGCAACATTTACTTAAAGCATATACAGTTTCAAATCAAATAAATCAATAATCATTATGTTAAATCCAGTGGGATGAGTCTTTACGGGGCGAATCGTCAGTGGGCCGAATCGTTAAAATAACGTAACGTACCGGATATCGGAGAAACGGAGAAAAGACAAACCAAAGGGAAATAATTCTTATGTCTCGGTCAAAATGTATGACACAACATATAGGTTGCCACCGTGTAAACAAACTAATTTCTTGTAGTTCTGGGTCATGGCAGTTACTCAATGAGTATATTTATTATTTTACAAGTCTGTAACAGTTTTTGTTTTGTGTGAAAGGTAAATAAACTCTGATTTTGTATTTTGAAATGTCGACCTCATAATTTGATAATTTGTTACTTCCTACATCATGATGATAGTGTCCTACTTCCAAAGTGTGTCTATTAGCTTATACACAATCAAACTAAAATAAATTCTGTATAAACCAAGTTAGGTAATAAATTGTTATCTGTTGGATGAGGTACACCAAAACAGTAATTGTCAAAATTTATCTTTGTGATATATAAGAGTACCAGAATACCAGTAAGCAATAAAAAGCCGTCTGGCTAGCTCAATAGGTAGAGCTTTGGACTGTTAATCGGGTGACTCAAGTTCAATTTCCGGACTGCGCTTGTGATTGATTATGAAATCCTTTCAATGGTCATTCGCACTGTACCTCTGCTCTGGCATGTACAGAAGTTCAAGTAATCAGTTCTTTGTGAAAGTGAAGGCCACTAGTACTGGTAAAACTTCTTGACAGCCTGCCCAGGAACGATTCTGTGGCTGAACTGTGCTCTGGTAAATTCAGTGTGGCTTACTGCCGTGATCCGGGTGAAAACTACCACCATCACCAACAATATGTAATAAAGCTGTATGATACAATTAGAGACACTGTTCCCTCACAGTCATATTATAAATGGGCTAAGAGCGATTTCCAGTTACTAGTAGAGTACAATGTATTAAGTGTTTTCAGGGCATATATTATGTGTTTTTAGTCGAAATATTATAAACTGGTCAAATTTACTTAATACTAATTGCTTCTTAAAAGTTAGGTTAATGTAAACTATATCAGAAATAACCACAACTATTTCAAATGTTTAATTTAGTTTTTAAAAGACTGCATAATATAATTTCAGAATCATTGACCAGTTCCACCATTTTATGTAGGTGAAATTGAAGCATATCATATCAAATCATGGAGGCTGAAGGAAACCTTGATGAATGTAGTCCATTTCTATTTTCAACACCCAGTCCAGTTGATTCTGCATCAAGTCAAGAGCTATGCTACCTTAGTGAAGGTTCTTTACAACAAGATGAAAATGGAGGTCGTTTAAAAAGAAAGGGTTGTTTACCATCATCTCATGTTGATTTTCTTAATCTTGTCTTCCCACCAACACCTCAGCAATCTCCAACTAGCCTACCAACTGAAGATTGTGAAAGTAGGGAAAATGCTGAAATGCTGAATGATAATCTTACCAAAGTTATTGTACAGGAACAAGAAGGCAGTGACTTACTGTTGATGGACATTTCTCAGCATCATGGACAAAACAAAGAGAAGGAATCTTCATTTGATGTTGAGATGGAAGATGTTACAGACACACCAAACGCAAGGCAAGAAATAGGAAAATCTTTAAGAAAGGAGAAAGAAAAGTCAGTGAAAGTAAAACGTGCTTTGACATTCCCACCATGTGTTATATGCACTGGAAAAGCTTCAGGGGCTCATTACGGTGCTATAACTTGTGAAGCTTGTAAAGGATTCTTTCGACGTTACTTACAGAAAAAAGGAGAATATAAGTGCTCAAGAGGAGGAAAGTGTGAAATTATAAATAGAAATCGGGGTAACTGTTCAGGGTGTCGTTTAGCAAAATGCTTGGCTTTGGGGATGTCAAAGGAAAAGTCTAAATTAGGGAGGTACACTCTAACTAAGAGAACTGAAGCAATAAAGAATATGAATAGACTTGAAGGAAAGGTAGCAACAGATTCCTTAGAAGAGGGCAATGAAATTCCTGTGGTTGATGAAAAATGTGAAACTAGCAAGTATGATCCGGAGTCAGAAATGATAGGCAGGAAGATAAGCCAGAATGCAAAGGACTTAAATGTTTCTAATGGTTTCTCTGAACTCCTTGTATCTGAGCTGGTGCAAGCTATGCATGAAATAAAACCATATGGGAAAGATATCAAAACAAAGGAGCAGATTTATGAAAGACATCTGTTTCATGCAGAAAGGTACAAACAAAAAATTGAACTGTTTGGTAGTATGAACACTGTCCCTAAAGAGGAGTTCAATAAATTGTACAAGGAGTTTGGCATTGATATTGATGGAAGAATGGCAGATATGAAAATATGCTGTAAAGATTTGGAGGGCATTGTTGAACGCTATTGTAACTTTGCAAAGCATATCCCAGGGTTTCATAATTTACCATACAAGGATCAGTCATCGTTACTGAAGGTGGCCAGGGCAGACTTTTTCATTATTATAATGAACGAGAGCTATAGTAAAGAACATAAGATTTATCTAGGGCAGGATGGTATAGGCTTCCATATAGAGGAGATGGCAGATAAATTTCTGTCTCGGGAATTATTAGTTGATTTGTGTGATGTGTATACCAGGTGGCAAAAGTTACAGCTAAGTGAGGAAGAGAAGGCATTGATAGGTGCATTGACTCTAGTTTGTACTGACAGATGCGAACTTGAAAACCGCTATGCAGTTGAGAAAATACAATATGCTATTGCAGATCTTATTCAATCGGTACTGTATGCACAAAATAAATCAACATCTCAGCTTAGATTCACAAAAATCATTGACACATTAACCAGTATGAGAAATGTCTCAGAACTGTATCTAAAAGAGTACAATATTATGTGTAAAGATGATGTTATTGTTCAAGAATTGCCAATGTTGTCCGAGTTTTTTCTAGAAGAATACGACAATATTGAGAAAAGTGACAAACAATGAATGTTACAATCTTATATTGTTGCAAAGATCTTCATAATTGTACAAATTGTAGAACATTTTGTATATATATGTTTCAAACTATTTTTTTAAGGTACACATGTATTACCATCACTTAGTTGCTCAATATACTCTCTTTGGTAACTAATACAATTGTTCCTAATAATTCAAGTGACATTATGCATATGCCTTTCCATATGTAAATGGTGATTGACCAGATTACAGTCAAAATAACTTTACATAACGTAAAGTTATTTCGACTGTTATCTTGTCACTCACAGTCATTTGTGCATAGATATTTTAAATTCAATATTTTAATTCAAATGTATTATCAATAACTCTTGTGACTCACTTAAATTCTATAAATTTCCTGCTGAGTGTTTCAGTGATGTTCAATTTATAAAAAGACCGAGGCAGTCTTAATTTTGGCTGTAAAGGTAAAGTTATTGAAATTGGCTTAGATTGTCATAACTGTGATATTTATTTACAGATTGGATTTTTATTTGGACAAAAGAACACATATAATAAAACAGACATGTTAAACTATTATGATATGAATTTGATCTTTAAATGACCTTTACCATCAAGGTCAAATTATTGAAATTTGCTTCTATTGTTATAACTTTGGCTTATGTTACAATTTATCCTAAACATTTTTTACTAAAATGTCACCATTGTAAAAGTAAATCTTATAAAGTATATACAAAATGAAATGTAGTTAATGTAGCTTAACTTGACAGCAAAAAAATGAGCATATAATGTCACTTTAAATGTTTAATAAAATATTTGATTGTTCTTGTTATATACATGTATCATCTTATAATACACACAATACCATTATATGTATATCATACTTTGCTGTTCAAATGTTTTGTATACAAATACCCATGTGATAATATCCCTTTTTGTTGATATATTTCTATGCATTCTAAAAGTCTAAGGTTTTAGCTTAGTGACTCATCTTTTGTAATACATGCATTTATATTTCACCATTTCTGCTTCTCTATTGTATCTCTCTTATGTGCTTCAGATTTGTTTCAAACTTAGAAATAATGGTGATGGCTTTAAAGGGACTCAACTGAGGTTTTTTGACATGATAGGACTGAAAATATTTTTTCCAGATAATTGTACCATTTGATGTAGGTTTAGACCACTAATCTTTGTGCAATATTTCAGATCATTTGCGCACACGGTTTTTCCAGAATAATTATTCAAATTGTAAAAAACTGACCCAAACTGAAAAGCGTTTAAACGCTTTTCACTCAAATTAGGCTAAGAAACAAAGCATAAAATCGTTGAAAGATACCAAAATGCTGCTTTTAAATGTATTATGTTCATATTTTGACATTTTTGTTTTGAAAACTTACATTCCCCATTTCTGCCATCATGCTTTATTGATGATTTTGTCAATAGACTTGAAACAAGAGGTCAGTAGTAACAAATTTACACATAAAGTATAACTAAGACCAGTATTAACTTGATTTTCTTTTCATTTTAGCATCTGGGTGGAGTGGCTTTAATAGCTATAGTTAAATTAGATAATTATTAACACCATGCTGAGTAACTTATTATCACATGCTTGAAATGCTTGATATACTTTCTACAATAATATTCCAGACACTTTTTTTCATATACATGTCCAAATATATATTGCATGATGATGTTCAATGTTTCTGAATGTTATGTTTTTTTAAAGGAGCGCCACTGAGGTTAAAAAGCCTAAAAATCATAAAGTTTAAAACTCTTACATAGATCAAGTATATAAAACACTTAAAATGATAAAATGTGCTACAACAAACGCAGATTTCAATTAAATTAAGTAATTATTTCTTTTTAATCTTATCTGAGTGAAAAGTGCTGCAATGCTTTTCATTTTTAGGCCACTGGATTTGCACACAAAAAAATAATTGGAGTGAGGGAAACCCAGAATGATCTGAAAATTTGTAGTTACATTATTGGTCATGACCAGTACATTGAATGGTACACAAATCTTGGAAAGATATTTTTCAGTCCTGACTCTCAAAAAACCTCAGTGGAGTCCCTTTAATGTAAAATATATGCACAAAAGTATAGCCTTTACTGTATAATACTTCTAATGTCATACCAAATATTGTTTTCAAGTTTCAGGTATATCTTTTTTGTTAATTGATTAAATATACAGTATATGAATAATTTATTCATTTACAAAGGCTGTTGTTATTTTTAGCAGAATGAGGAAAAATCTTCTTGCTAAATACATTGTATTGTCACAATTTTAGCTTCAATGAAAGTCACTTTTGATAATTATTATACTGTTCTTAAATTTTATATGCCAGAAAGAATATTGATCATTGTTATGCCTATGCATGTCCATCAGTCTGTCTGTTAGCGATTTCATGTCTTTTGGGCTGATGGAAGAAAATTTAAACTACTGGGCAGAAATGTTGACACTTATAAGAACATGTGCCGGGTGCAGTTTTGGGCTTTCTCACATCAAGGTCAAGGTCACTGTTAGTTTGTAGCCCATCTGAGTACTAAGTGCTCAAGATGAGCTTTTGTGATCACAGTTTGTCTCGTGTCCATCATCGGTCAGTGTCTCTGGCATCAACCTTTTTTAGCTCACATGTCACAAAGTGGCATGGTGAGCTGTTGTGATAACTTTTCGTCCGCCGTCTGTCCGTCGTCCGTAAACTTTTACTTTAAAACGACATCTCCTCATAAACCAATAAGCCAATTTCATCCAGACTTCACAGGAATGGTCCTTTGGTGTTCACCTTTAAAAATTGTTCAAAGAATTTAATTCCATGCGAACTCTGGTTGCCATGGCAACCGAAAGAAAAAACTTAAAATATCTCCTTTTAAAAAACCCAAAGAGGTAGAGCTTAGATATTTGGCATGAAACATCGAGTGTCTATCAAGTTTGTTCAAATAAAAGCCCTGGGGTCAAAATTGGCCTCCCGGGGGGTCATTGCTTTTAATCTTATTGAATTTTACATTAATTGTTCAAGTTATAGCCCTAGGGTCAAAATTGTCCCAGCCAGGGGGGAGGGGGCATGGCTTTTCCTTATATATGAAATAATTTAAAAGTCTTCTACTTGGAAACTGTAATGGTTCGATCTTTAAGTCCCACGCCAAGGATCATCTTTTTGAAAATGGATCACCTGGGGGTCAAAAACAAGGTCACACAGCCAAAAACCTTGTTAACACTCTAGAGGTTATATTTTCAGCCCAAATAAGATGGAAAACCCTTTTTATCGCTCTATAGGTCAATGTGTGGGTTGAAATATACTGGAAAATAGTTAGAAAGTTTGTTTCTCATCTACGTTCAAAAACTAGGTCACACAGCACGGTCAAAAACTAGGTCACACAGCTCTAATACTATAACCTTGTTAACACTCCAATATTTTCAGCGCAAATATCCTGGCAATTTGTCAGCAAGGTTTTTTAAACCGATTTCTTTATCAAGTTAAAATATGGGTCGTCTGGGGTCAAAAACTATGTTACACAGCTCATTTATGAAAAAAACTTGTTTATATCTGCACTATTTCAGGCGCAGATATAAACTTTATATCAGTTCAAGAATTAGATTATGACATTTTATCTGCTTTTCACTCAAAACTAACGATATTAATTAAGTGCTTATATATATTATCAGGTTAGCGATGTAAGGATCATTATGGCCCTCTTGTTTTATGTAGACGGGCTATATTAGCTCACCATGATTAAGAGTGCATAGTAAATTAAAGTTTGGTGTCTATCTTTAGGCCCTAGGCCTGCTGGTATTAATTAAAGACTTTGCCACCAGCACAGAACAGGACTGACATGCATACCTGTGAAAGAGTACATGTTTGAACAAGAAAAATACTGATTCACCCCACCCCACCCCTCCATCAGTACGTAACGGAAAAAACAGGTGCAGCGACAAGGTACGAGCTCTGGGCCAGTAGGGCTCGACAAGTTTCCGTTGATGTTTCACCACATTATGTTGTTCATAGGTACAAAGATTAATCACATACAGATACGCGATTTTCTACTGTTCAAACCTAATGTTTACTTAATTCACTGTTTATACTTGAACTTTGGAAGCAGGCTTAAATTGATATATGCAATTTTTTTTCATTGATACACTGTAACTTAATAAAGTATAGTATAGTCGTAGAAAAAGTATAAAATTACAAAATATATAACTGTTCTGCTGAGAATTACGTTTTCAGGAATCAGTTGTTTTTGAACAATCACGGTATACAATGTGGGGCCTAAAGGATATTTTAGAAGCTCAAGTATTTTACTTAATTAAATATGAATAAAGCTTTGTAAGTGATATTTCAAGGTCGTTTAGTTATCCAATCGAGAATTTGGTAAATTTCGTCCTAACTATATTTATATAGTTTTCAAGGCTGTCTCCTATTTCCTAAAACAAACTTAATACAAATTAATGCATGCAATATTATATTTATTTTTTTATTTTTCACTTTTCTGAACTAAAAAGTGCATAAAAACCGTGACATTGAGGATTCTGCGATATTACTGGTCTAGCCCAGTAGTAACATGTTCAGGGATCACAAGTTCGATACCCTGAGACACTTCAACACAAATCACTCTCAAGACTTTAAGACGAGACTTTAAAAACGGAGAACCCGTGAAATGTTGATTTACACCTTGCACGTTATAGAATCGGTTGGTTCTTTTTCTTGGAGGTTTTTTTCTGTATCTGGTCGGTCACTATCATCTCGGTCACCAAAGCTATTCATCGTATATCAGTATATAAGGTATGAGTTCCGACGATTGGTAACTCTATATAAGCTTACAAATGTTTAAACATAGCCATTTAACCCGTTAGACATATAACTACATGTAATATAACAGTTCTGCAGTGAGTCACCGATGGTGACTATATAAATCACCGTTTATCTCTGAAAATTAAGGTCCCTGCTCTTAAATTTTAACACTTATTTTGTGTGCTTGCAACAGGTTATAATAAATATGTATACATATACATTAATTTCATCTTATACGGGTTATTTTAAAGGATACCTGTATAGAAATTTATATTTACCAAAGGCAAACGGTGTAATATGACGTTATATATCGGGTGATTTTTTTTAGTTGCGTAGCATTAAAACAAGAGCTGTCAGTAAGACAACACAATCAACTATTTTCAATGCTTAAACTAGGAGCCTGGGTAATGTAAGAATTCACAAGGAGAAGGAGTTCATTAAAAATTAAAATAATGTACATGACATAGTTATCTATGTCTATGATATTGACCAAAACATTTTCTCAGAGGGCCTTAATATTTTCATCCAAAATCCATATCCAGAATAAATGGGTCTTTGACAAGCGACCTTCAATTGTAATTAAAAAAACGAACCAAGTTTCAAGTGAATACAATCAGTCAATTTATTGAAAGATTTATGAAAGATTTATTAAGACCATAAATCGGCCAAGATCCACACTAGAGTCATGGGCCTTAGTTCTAAGTTCAAAAAGGGCCATAATTCTGTCAAAATGACTGACTTATGGGCATTGGATAGTGTCTTCCTATTATGCTTTCAGATAAGTGTGTGAAGTTATAAACAGATATATTTAGTGATTGATGAAATATGATGTTACATGGGAAACTTTAACCAAAGTTTTACGTCGATGTCCGGACGAATAGTCGAGCTAAAACACTACCGACAGCTCTAGTGATTTATGAATATGTCTGTACTATTCAAGTCAAGGTGTCCTTGATAGATAATGTAAGCACAGGCCAAATATAGAGAGATTAACATTGTTCAGTGTACAATTATACACCGAAATTATATCTTGGTACAATTTTTATTTATATAATATTTGCGATACTAACAAATAAATACATCGGAGGCTTTTAATACGTTCTTTTTAGAAAAAAATATGTAATATGTAAACACAAAAAGCACTAAATCTAAAATCTGCCCTTAAAATCACTGTCTTTCACTTACGTGGACTGAAGTGCTGTATAGCCTTACTTTAATAATGATTTAACAATGAATTTCTGGCATTTTGTATGCTCACCACACGACGAAAGCAAAGTTGAATGCGAAATAATTTGTCGCAAAAGTCAAAGTGGGATTTTGTTCTCCATTACCACTATGGACGCAAAGCAAATGATTCAGCTATATGTGCAATAAGTATAGTTCAAGAAAGCTATACAATAAGACAGGCACAAGGCAGTTCAGTGACTTTTCAAGGGATTAAATGATTAAATACATTGTTAATTAAGTGATAATACTAGTATTTAAAGTGTAAAACGATATGTTTCTGAAGAAATATGAAACGTTTTTCTCCGTATAACTAGATTGGTATAAATAACATATACAGCAGTGTGTGGGTAAAACACAACAAAACACAAGCACACACAAAAAACTATAAAAGACAAACCTATATAGCGACAACTTGATGCACAAAAGCGTTCCAATTCAGCCGCCATGGAAACAGCATGTGTTGATACATCATATTTTAAATCTTCATTTTTCGTTTTTGGCGTTTGTTTAGAAGTTTTTAGAATATTTGACAGTCATAACAATTTGTAATTAAACAGTCAATACATGTTGTTTTTTTTCTCTCTCATATAAGCATGATTATAATAATGCATGGCATTATTTGTACCCTTACAAAAATTAATATTAAAGCATTCATTGTATGTTGGTTTAATACACCGATGGGAAGGCAAATTCGGTTAAGTACAACTAATTTGAAGTAAAGACTTGCAGTAAATGAAACTATAATCTGCACACCCATGCAGTCCGAGCGGCCCGCCCACATATTCCGACCTGTCCGCATGT